TGAGTAATTTGTTCTAACTCATTTTTGGATTGGGCAATCCATAATGTGTCATCCATATAAGCAAGAACTGAGGTAGAAACTTGAAGATGTTAGTGTTGAGAAGGTTGTAAACTGGTTTTCCATGATGTTGAAAGGGTATATCCTGTAAATTGAAATGCGATTCTGTGAATAAGAGGGTCATAATAGATATACCAAAATAATAGTGTAATTGTTTCTCTTTGATCAATTCCATTTTTAACAGAGTATGAGTCTGTAAGTCCCAGGTTAGTTATAACTCGGTTGTGGCAGTCATCAAGCAAATTAGTAAGAACTTCTACTAATTTAGGTGGCATGTTGATTCATATTAGAGATTTGTAAAAGAGGTCAGAGTTTACTGAATCATAAGCTTTGCTTATATCTTGAGATATAAGCAGCAAGTAAGTGTTGATAAACTCTATGACACTTATCGCTATATAATAAAACTTATTAAATCATAGTAGCAATAGAATATCTGTGATTCTTGCCTCCTATATTTCCAGTTCCCAAATTTACTTCCTTTTTGAATAATGTGCATTTATTTATTAGTTAGTCTGTTATGCATACTTTCCTAATCATTCACAAAAATAATAAGTAATTAAGTTTATAGTCACTAAATAGCTTCTGTGATTCTTGTCTATTTTGAGTCTTTTTCTATTTTTTCAGTTTCTGAATTTACTTCCCCTTGGAATTTATTTATTAGTTAGTATCTTATGCATATCTTTCTAATCATTTACAAAAATAAAGTCTATAGTTACTAAATAAAATTTATGTGATTCTTATCTGTTTTAAGCCTTTTTCTATTTTTCCAATTCCTAAATTTATTTTTCCTTGAAATAATCATATTTATTTATTAGTTAGTCTTTTATACATCCTTTCTAATCATTCATGATTTTAATCAAAAATAGAAAGTAATTAAGTCTATAGTTACTAAAAAGATGAATACAGCTATTAACCAAAATAAGAAGGTAATTAAATACAAAAATCAAAAATGCAAATATTAATTAATCCAAAAATAGAAAGATTATGAAAAAGGCTAAAGTATTAATCATGAGTTCATTAGAGATAAAAAAATAGTAGGAATAAAAAATTAGATAAAAAAATATCAAATGTTTCAGATCAAATAAGGAACTGAATGAATAACAATGAGTTAATTATATATAGTGTATTAGATATAATAGATGTATCTTTAAATATAAAAGCAAGATTTTTTAATTTAGTAACAGCTATCTTATTTTCAAATTAATTTAGCTTGAAATAAAGTTTTCTTGTCCTTAGTAATAAAGTTATATAAAGTACTTGCTGTAAATTTTTTTGTTAATTACATATCTTGTTAAATTGCCAAATTGACAAACTCAAATAGTGTAATATTTTGTTGCATTTCTTTCAATTAATGAAACAAGATCTGTATATATACTCAAGAATACTATAAGATACTTTTACAATTACCTCATACTAATATAAAGTTTAATTTTCTTTTATTATATGCATTTACTATCATAGGAATACTTCTGAATTTCAGACTGAAATTTTAATAATGTCTAATCAGCTTTCTACTAAAAGAATATGTATAGCAATTAGTAATGTCCTAAAAAATGCAATATGCCAATATCATATTAAAAATCCTAATAAAACACAAATCTAAATTGTCAAGCATTTTAATATCCAAGACCCTGATTGAAGTCTGGATCATATAACCATTTCTAAAATCTTAAAAAAAAAAACAAATAGTTGGCTGTTAATGAAAATTAAATTACTTCAAGCACATTTTGGCATAGAAGTGTCAAATTTCCTTTATTAAATCAAGTGATGAAACTGTGAGTAGAACAAGTAATTAATAGTGAATTATTTTTGAATGAAGCTATAATCAAAGAAAAAGCTGCTTATTTCACTAAAGCTCTTGCATTACCTGTAGATGAATTAAAGTTTTCTAATAGTTGGGTAAGGCAATTTAAAAAGCGCAATAGCTTATGAAATTTTCAGTTGCACAGAAAGCTGGCAGTGCACCAATTCAAATCCTTCCAGAATCTTGGTGAAATTTACAAAATATTATTCAAGAATATGTATTAAGTGATGTATTTAATGCAGATGAGACAGGATTATTTTTCTGTATGGCACCTAATCAAACTTTGGCATCTTAACCTCGTGCAGGCTTACAAAAGGAAAATAAACTTATTAATTAAGAATATTTGATAGTCTAAATCTTTGGTTCAAATTTTTATAACAAATTTTTTTTATATCTATTCTAATTATACCCGAGAGTTTCTTGCTTGAATCATTCTAATCTCTTGAGTATAATTAGAGTCTTTAGATATAATTATAATAAGTAAAACCTCTCTAAATATACTTTCTTTAAATCACAACTTCTCTAAATGCATGCTTAACTTTGGCTAAATATATATATATTTGACCTTTATAAATACACTTTATCTTACTATTTTCTAAATATATATTATAAAAAAATTTGGTTCCTATAGAGCATTTAGGAAGGTTTAACACTTACTTTTCATCTATTAGAAATTTTGAATAAATAATTTAGACTATCAATTATTTTAAGGTTTTTTTTAAAAAAAGAGCCTAAGTGTTTATTTACTTGAATCGATATATCTAAATTTAATTATTTAATAATTTAGGATTGTACTCACATTACTGTTCTTTTAGCCTGTAATGCAACTGAAATAGAGAAATTAAAACCTCTGGTAATTGGATCATCTATTGAACCACAAGCATTAACTTATATCAATCATACTATATTATCTGTTACATACTATGCTAATTCAAAAGCATAGATGTGAAGTAACATATTTGCAGAATGGTTAAAAGGCTTTAATGACTGATTTCACTTGAAAATCAAAAAATTTTGCTCTTGCTTGATAATGCATCAAGTCATGTCTGTCCAAATTCACAGAATCCACCTAATGAAGAGTCTAAAAATAGTAATTCTGAAGATATTGAGAAGTTGTCTTTTATTAGAACAAATAATCATAAAAATAGATGTGGTCGTGGTTGTTCAAGATTAAATAATACTGCTTCAACAAGTCAACAAGATTATTCTATTACATGACAAAGTAAAGGTAAACATGGCACAGGCCAGCAAAGCATATACACAGTTCCTGATTTCTCTAACTATCACCTTGCAAATATTTGAGTTGAATTTTTACCTTCTCTTACTACTTTGCATCTCCAACTTATGAATGCAAGCATCATTAAATATTTTAAAGCAAAATATCAAAAAAAATACATTTAATATTTATTAGACCAACTTGAAAGATGAATAGATTTTCAGAATTCCAAGTAAGCTAATTTTTAAATTAAAATTATATACACATTAAACTTTTATTATTTTATATTTTTTTTCTTTTTTTTTAGAAATAAATTAAATATCAAGGAGGCGATTTATTATGTAGCAGCATTATGGGACGAAGTTGGTGAGCAAACAATAGTGAATTGCTGAAGAAAGACAGGTATCTTGCCATTAATATTAGATAGTGAAGTTGAGCCTATACAAGATATATTTTTAGAATCACTTGAATATGAAGAAAGCAAGATTGGTGAATTGGTTATTAATCTTACTGAAAATGATTCAAATATCGCACAAGCAATAGATACCTACAGAGAAATGAATAATGTACAAATACCTATAGAAAAAAGACTTGATGATACTCAGATCATTGAAATTGTACTAGCAGAACAGTTAGAGTGTAAGAAAGGTGATCCAGATGATTCAGACAAGGAGCTCTCAAAAATTTCAGCATTAGAAGAGTTAAATGGGTTAAAAAATTTTATTTTATTTGTTAAACAACAAATGAATGATGACTTTAATAACAGTGACATAGCAACATTTCAAAAATATTTGCCATTAATGAAACAGAAAGTTAATGAGTTAATGAAACAAACATCCATTGTAGATTTTTTAGTACAATAGAGGACCTTAATGATGAAGATGATGAATAATATGGTATAGTTTTTATTTACAAATATTTATTCAATATATTTTTATTAATAGAACTAAATATTTATTTATGTATATTGATGTAGTCCCTTTCATCTTCATATTGAGTAACGGCATTTCTTTAAATAAATTCTTCTTTTTATAAAAGAATTTTTTATATTATTAAATAAATATATATGTAGCTTCATTAAATAATGCAGTTGTCAATTGAATTTTAGTTTTAATAAATATTAAAAGCTTGCACTAATAGTATATTATAATAAGCATATTTATAATTATTTAATGCTAAAATAAATTAAATATTATATTAAATATTGGAATTTAATAATCGCAATTAGTGATATGAATTGGTAGCTACTGGTAGATATCTATCACTAATAAATACCAGTAGATTAATTTTATGCTAAATAGATACCATTAACTAAAAAATAAAGCCTAACCTATAAGTTAAAATATAAAAAAACACATATCTGAGCTCCAGTATTATTCTTATAAGGCCCAAGCTCTAAAAACACAAACCAAATTTTAGGCGAAACCAACTAGATTCTAATAATTACACTAATCATAAATTTCAGATATAGAAGATAAATGAACATAAAATATGAACAAATTAAAAGCTGAATTATTTGGCAGTTTATGAAAGATTCTGAATTAAAATTAACTAAATCAATAAGCTTATTAGCTTAGTCATAAACAAATACTAAAGATCTAAAAATTTTTTATCATGCAGTATTATGCGCAAGATAATGTATATGTTGTATGTTAAATTAAAATTTGAGTCAAATCAAAATAATTATAATGCCATTAATAACTATCCTTACTCTACATAGGGGTTTATTCTAACCCTAATAAAATTTTTTTAATCTGATGCAAATTTCAATTTGACATACAATATATATATGTTGTTGAATTAAGAATTGTTTTAGGTTGAGAATCCTTATGGCTGTGCAAGACCTCAAAATTTTAAAATATATCTTACACTTTTGGTAATCAATTAAGAATAAAAAAGATAAGGTTTGGAACTGATTTAACTTTTAGATTTAAATCCAATTTATTTTAGATTTGATTTAAATTTGAACATAAACCCAAATCTACCAAATTGCAATACTCTCACATATAGAGAACAAAAGTATTTGACTACCTATAACATTTTTGTAAAAATAAAATAAATTTGTTTCTAGGTAATCAAATGTGTATATGTACATACTATAATGCTACTATATTTTACTTTTCTATTGTTATTTTTGAATTTGGAATATATCTGGATTTTAATTTAACAATACAAATACTAAAGGTTACTAATTCAAAAAATAAATTCAGTTCTAAACTCTAGATATGATTTATTAGCAAGCATGCAAGCTTAGTTTTTGGACTTCATGCTAGAAATAAGGTTACATCTATACATCACATCTTAAATGAGAGTTTTATCTATTAACTAGTCATATAAATATGAATTCTACTTACAATTTTCAGTTACTATCACTACTATATTTCTATAAAATAAATTAATAAGATTTATATTACTGTACTAATCATCAATTAGCAATACAGATAAATACAGCAGTATATGCATTTTAGCCATATTCAGTAATTTTAATATCAGCTATAACTATATCAAAGCTATAAAAAAAAACTAATTAAAAATATTCTGGTTTGTGTGTACTGCGAATATAGACTTCTAATATATTATTTATCTTGATGTGATTTTATAGAGAGATAATATATAATATATATTATTTTGTTTATACTATAGAATGTAATAGTGATTATAGTTGAATTGTGATTATATATAGGTAATTTAATATTTAAAAAAATAGAATTTATAAATTGTGTGATAATAAAGAATTAGTAATTATATAGGAGGTGACTATAGAGGAGTGTAACTGTATATTATATAAAAAAACATTCAAAATTATTTAGTAATATATAATAAAATATAAAAAGAATTAAAAACCTTTTAATTAACTTAATATGATTAAGTTTTTTAAATAATACTTAAATAGATACAAATAAATTATAATTGAAAATAGGTTTAGGTTACAGATTATATATCTAAGTTTTTATTTTTTATATGTAATTTAAAACAAATTTTTCTTTATAAAAACTTTAATTAAATTTCAATAAAGTCAAAAGCATAGCCTTATTGTTAATATTTAAAATAAAATAAAAATTTATAATTGAAAAAAATTTTCTAAAAAATCATAACTAAAAGAAATGTTAAAAACAAAATTTAATATAATAAGAACTTGATATGAAACAAATAATTAATATATTAAAAGATACAATTAAAGCTTTAAACAAAATTATAGATTTTTTAGTAATAACAATTAATATAATTTAAAATAACTTTTATAAAAATATTTAAAAAAACTTAAACAATTACATTATAAAAAAAAACAACTTGCTCAAAATATAACTACTAAAACTAAATATATAAAAATTTACTTTTTAACAATATTTATCTTTACTAAAAATTTTTCAAATACTATACAACCTCTTAATACTATACACTCTATTAACAAATGGCTTTTACAAAGTTTTACTTTAACCACATGTTTTATATAATATCCTGACTTTTAACTAAGATTTTCTCTAACTTATCTTAGCCAAAAAATAATTTGATCCAATTATATATAGCACTTATTAAAAAATAGGAGATGTAATATCATATTAGATATCTATTTTAGCAACACAAATGTAGTTTAGAAATCTTTATTTTAGAAATTTTTTTCTGTAATTAAATTTCTTATTATATTTT